TTAACTCTCCAATCATGCCTCTTCCTGGCACAGATAAAGTGTATCTGTACTACATGTCTTTTCTGATTGATTCTGCACTATAATGCAAAGTCTAGGGTCTTGGTTTTTATTCTGAAGTTATACAACGCTTGCAAGGTGACCGGGTCTCTGCGGTTCATAATGTCTCTGCAGCTTTCTTCCACTGTGTCCTTAAAAGCAAACGTACATTGCATCGCCTGTGGAACAATTTGTATTATTATCCAGTTTTGCAGAGTCTATGTGACAAAAAGCAGGGCTCAGATTATGATATGTGGTTATAATAAAAAGAAAATGTGGGCAGGAGTGATGTGAGTTGAGTAGCTGCCAAATGCCAGAGAGCAGAAAGAAAAAACAGTAGTGAAACAGTATCGTAATCAACCAGACTTTATCAGCCTACTTGACTTTATTGAAATCCCTTGCATGCTAAAGACAAACTACCTGAACTTTGCATGCTCAGTAATGGCCCTGCAGCACCAGCTTCTCTTACTAAGCAGCCAATCAAAATAAATGTTACACCCCAAAGAGGAGGGTGAGTGAGCTCCTCTTCACTGAGCTTTTATTGGAGGAGTGGAGACAAACAAGTTTGGGGTGTTTTAAGTGCAAATTAGGGATCATTTTTGAAGAATTTGATTTAGCTTGTTTTCATCCTTTTCAACTACCCTGGGGTCTGGTATATCATATTGCAACTCAAAGTAGTCTTTTTAGTGCTTGCTCTTTAATATCAAATGTTTAATGTGTATTGATCTGACTCACATCCACATGTAATTTAAAACCTACTCTTTCAGATGTTTCCTGTTTCCTGAGAATCCTCACAAAAACTGTACATGTAAAAGAAAATAGACCCACTGACTGATTTGGCAAAGATAAATACTTTTTACAAATGAAAATCCCCCAAAGGAGAGACAAAGATACATTTTTGCATTTGATTAGTCAAACAAACTGCCGCAATCAACAACAAAATGTCTAAAAACTCAGATGTGATTTGTTAGGAATACTTATTAAGCTGCACTTTTTATATTGACAATGACCAAATGTGAAATGGGTTGCTTGTAATGAAGAGCGATTATCACATGACTCAACAATTGTACATGCTATGGAGACAGTTAGCTTCTTTTAGCTAATTTCTTTGGTTTAAGGGCTGTTCAGTCTCCCTACTCTCATCGCTTGTTTCCGGTCACAGCAGATTGTTTTTTTAGTGTTAAACCTCTTATAAACCTGCTTGACAGTGCACCTATCTGCTCAGCAAAACAGCAAACAGACAAAGCTAGCAACTAGCTGGTGAACACACTGGATCATTTAGCAGCTAAAGAACCAGATATCTAGTTGGTAGACAAAAGAAAAGCTTAAAGGAGAGTGAATATTGGACATACATTTATCAGGTTGCCAATGAATGCTGATATTGCTCTGTCTGCCTTAACAACTTGAAAAGGTGATATAATGTCTATCTTGTGTTTTTAGTTTGTTCCTGAACGTGGCCTCAACAATAAATGAATGCAGCTTTAAGTGAAAATGTAAATTAAATGTAAATTAAATCCACTATGTGCAGGATTTGAACATTTCCAGCTGTGGCAGCAGCCGTATCAAGGAAGTCACTGGAGTAGACAGTTATCCTCCCCTGGGCTGAACAGCACATACACTGCTCCAGTCTTCGCTGAGATAGTTTTTTTGACAAACAAAATTTGTTTAAAAAATGCTACAATCACATAAAGATTCTATGCGTAGTGGCTTTAACTGAAAATATTATTACTTTATTAAGCTGCCTATTTACACATCCACCAAACACAAAGCAGCATTTATTAGCAGCCATTATTTGGAGCCTTATTCCTGGCCACCTGGCGAGTGCAAGTCCAATATTCACTTTTGTTTAGCTTTGTTTTGGAAATCTGTCTGGCACTGCAAATAAGATTAAAGAGAGGACTGCTGGCCTTAAACCCAAAACAATTAGCTAAAAGAACAGCAGAATCGGGTAATCATTTTCTGCGGGTTTTAGAGCAACACATTTCACACATTCATTTGATCTTTTGTTAATAGAAAGATATTGAAAAAAAAAAGCTTAACACCAAGTGGAGAGACACTTGGTGTGTGTGTGTCTAACTTCTCATGTAATGACAATAGTTAAAGGCAAATGTGTGGGTAATATTAATCACCATGCAGACTAATAATTGCAGCAGTGTCAACTTGTTCTGTCAGACTGGATAGGTCTGATGGAGTTTGATCGGAAAAGAATCTGTTACCATTAAACCTGAGGTGGCAGCATCGCTGCATTGCAGTGTATCAGTGAAGAGTTAGAACTTTAACCTGAGGGACACACACTACTGACTTAAAAGTAACACGCTGCTACTGCTGCTGTGTGTGTGTGTGTGTGTGTGTGTGTGTGTGTGTGCGTGCGCGCCCGTATGTCCATATGTCCATAAATGTATGTCCATATCTATGTGAGTGTCTGTGGGAGGATAATGGAGTTTAGATAAACCTAATGAGACATATTTTCTCAAAGTGAAACTATTTAAAAACTGCTTTAAATCCATTTGACAAGGGTAAATTAAGAATGTTGCTTTTCCAGATCTTTACTTCTGTATCGCTGGTTAAGCAATGCAGGCTGGTTCAGTTGTGTTCCAAAGATGACTGGCGCCCTCTAGCAGCCAAAGTAATGTGCACAGATAATGTGTGGGCCCATCAAAAGATTAACTCTACATGTGCTGTAGTCAGAATTAGTCACTCTCACAGTTAAACACACAGAAGGCCTGTTTAGCAGGTTAGCTTTGGATTTGGTTTATTATTGTAGTTGTAGTACAAATCTTCTGCCTTTGCTGGCTGTGAGGAACACACAGTAATCACACCCCCCCCTTTCACTCCTATTTTCTTGTCATTTTCGGCAGCAGATGCCTTGCATATGGCAGGGAAATCACTTTGAGCCATGAAGGACTTCACTGAAGGAAATCCATGTAATCTGCCGCGTCTTCCAGTTAATCACGGGGCTTAATAAGTCATGAAATCATTCGTAGTGTGACTTGGTTGCAATTTCAATAAGGTATAGGGGTCATTGAGCTGGGCTGCAGGAGGCTGCTGGGAAAATTCAGTGTCTCATACAGACATCCTAAAGTGCGTAGAGTATTGCTGCCTTCAAGTTGGAAATTCAATGGATTTCAAAATAACCACAGTCATGCCAGAAAAACGGTGAAACACAACCAAAGAAAATTACCCCTGGCTTGTGTGACATTTCATACAAGCATATTAGGATTAGTTTAGATTAATGTTTGCATGTCAAAACACATTTTTTCCATCATTACACTTCATTATCTCAGTAGCTGGAGATACTTACAAAGCCTCTTCAGCCGAGTAAATTGAAAATGACTCATTCCTACTGTGTGTGTTTCATTTTGTTAACTCCTTGTCTCGCTTTAAAGCTGGGTTAGGCAACGTTGGAGAAACCAGCAAGAGCAAGCTAGATTTTGAAAACATCCAAGAGAAATAAATTCCACCCCCTCCCATCAGGCCTCCCTCCAAAGCCGCTCCCATATGTTCATGCGCAATGAGTGTACGGGCAGAGTGCGTGTGGGCAGGCAGGTAGGCAGGTAGACAAGCTGGCCTTATTACAGTCCCCCAGAGCATTTGATATATTGATTGCTGTCGGGATGTAAAGAGAATTTCGACAAATATAACAGAATATATTTCTGAAATACATTGCCTGCCCCAGCCTTAAGGTGCCCCACATTTGTTAGAATAATTGAATGTAATAATTTAAACAGTATCTGGTGCAGTATATCTTCTCCTCATGAAATAATAGTCATTTTTTCTTCTCAAAACAACAAAGATATGAGTACTACTTCTGTTTAGTTATTTACAGTCAACACAACTAAATCACTTACAAGCAGGCTATAATGCTGCACTCATGTTCAGGTAGGGGTATGAGTGCTGACGTGTCATTGGAGGAAGATGGATGGAGGTACATGTCATTGTTAAAACTTGAAGTTGTTAATATATTTAGATTGTTAGGACCTTATATTTACAATATTCTTACAAGTAATCCAAACATGGACTGCAGCAGGAATGACTGACTACTGCAGGGTGACAGTAAAAGCTATGAAAGTGATTAAGTGCTATTGTTTAAAACTGCAGTTCAGTTCACTGCAGTGCGCTCATCGCTCGTCACTCCTCACTGGTTCAGTCCCCAGACCAGCACAATAAATGTGGGGAAACTGAAAGAGTAGGCTCGCCCCTCCTTCATTACCACCACTGATGTGGCTTTCAGCAAGGCCCTTAACCCCTTCCTGCTCCTGGTGAAGCTGCTCAGTGGCCAGCGTGTCAGACTGCTGCAGCTTCCAGGTGTGAATGTGTGTAACTTTGTAAGTGTGAACAGGGCATTCCTTTAAAAGAGAGCCCGGGTCTCAGTGAAACTCCCTGAATGAATAATGCTTGTGGACAGCTTTCTTCAGAGACACTTCTGATTTCACACCGTTCAAACTTGAAACAACATGTCAAAACATTGTGACTATAGCTGTTGGGTTTATTCCTTTTGCACACCTAAAATACCTGCACTTAGTAGGGGATGTATCAATGGTTGTGTTTGCTGCAATGACGTTTTACATTTTACAACAGGTAAAAGTTCACTGAACAAAGGTCAGTTCACCTTTTCTCACATATTCTAGTGGAACTATACATAGGGCGGTGGCCATCACTGAGAACATCATGTCATCTGTTATTATTCTGGCACATTGGGGGCTTTTAATATCTTTGGAGAATTGCATGTTGTATTGTTAAAAATGTTTTAAGGTATTTCTAGATTCAGAATATAATCAAATTTGACCAGCCATCAAAATGCAATAAAAAAAAATGATTCAGTATTTCTACACCATTTTATTGTGGAGAAGGCTTTAAAACAGCATTTAGAAAATAAGAGAAAATAAAACAATAACAATTTATTTATCTGTCCGTAATTTCACAAATTACAAACAAATGGAAGTTAACTGGAAAGAGTTATGTTCCTAATCGGGTACTGATTATAAGAAAACGTTTTAGTTAGAAGTTAGCTGTGTTGAGTTTATGAGCCTAATTTCCAGGTGAAGCCCCTGTGAGCGCACTGGATACAGTGACGTGGAATAAGGGCGGGGCCTGTGCACAGGTGAGTGCCGCACATTACAGGTGGGGAAATGTGCGTCCTGATAACCAAGTTAAAGTGTTCAGCGCCGTTATTCGGGCTCTCACCTCTCCTCCGGCATGGCCCCCAGCAGCGTGGGGAAATGCGCGCTGTTGTTCTTCCTCGCTGTTGTTTTTGATGTATCTGGTTTGGTTGTACTTCTCGTCGGGATTTTCGGCAACCTGAACTTGGACGGCCGCTTCTACGGGGATTTCCTCGTCTACACGGGCTCGATCATTATTTCACTCAGTTTGGTGTGGTGGGTTTTGTGGTACACGGGCAACGTCCAGCTGTACGAGGAGGACAGGCCGGGCTCTCTGGACATCACTTTTACGCACTGGGCCAGAAAGCTGTCCGAGAGGCTCTCCATAGGCGGCATGAGAGCTCTGGAAGCCGGAGAGGGGAAGAAGAAGAGCGTGGGGAATGGGAAGGAGATAAACGGGACTCTGGGTGCTGTTTCGCCGTGTCGGATTATGTGGGAAAACAGCTGCAGCAGTGGAGCCAAGTCGGGTTACGACAACAGAGGCTTTGATGAAGGGACCAAGTGCGCATCTCCAGTTGACAAAAACGTGGAGATGGGGGCGTTGAGGTGCTCAGACGTGGCTCTGCAGGCAGCGGAGACCAAGGCAGAGAGACTTCTCTGACATGAGCTGGTGCGTATTTCACTCCTCACCATCGCCTAACCCAGGTCCACCCCAACATCCTCCCTAGAGTCAGCTTGCTTGAGACTTTGAAAACCCGTTTCCCCAAACCACGTCAATCTTCTGACACAATAACCTGTTGTAGTCTTTAAAAGTTAAAGCAAGCATCTAAAAAAAACGTATGATCCTGTAAAAGTCTGGGTCTCTGGACCCAACAATAATAATTGAAAGTCATAAATATTCAGCACAGTGACCTGCTTTCACCCTTCCCGTCAGTCAGCTGGTGTTTTGCTTGTCATTAGCTGCTCGCTGCCACAGCTGTAACTCTTCCATCATTACTGTTCTTGGCATCCTTGTTGTATAGTAAGTTGGCATGGCAGCCCCCCGCACCCCCACCTCAGTCATAATTATTTATTATTATTTTCAGTTCTCCGCTGACACCAACAGTGAAGCCGGTCGTGAGGAATGGGCACAACACATCTCCCCCTGCGCACTCTGCTCTGCTCATGAATATCTGTAATAATCCCCCCCCCCACCCGGCTGCTGTGAAAAGATCTTCAGTGGCCCGTGGCAGCTTTTAATTAATGAGCCTGACCATTTCTGCTCACCTTCACAGTTCTGCATTATTTTAGCCGTCACTTCGCTTGTAACCGGGTGGCAAGCCAGACACCCTTTGGGCCAAAAGGCGCAATTGCATTTTAATGGAACTCAGCAGTGCTTATTGATCCAGTGGAATGGAGTGCAGTAGGTAGGTTTCAGCCACCAAATGCTGGGATCATATATAAGTCTGCTTCATGCAAACTCCTTCCATCCACTAGTTCCCGGTATTTAGCTTTTTATGGGCCCTTCCCTGATTATGCAACCAGGATAATGATCTTGAGATATGGAATTGTGTGAAATAGTGTGGTCAAGAACAAACGTTGCGTACTGAACAATGAGGGTGGTTCTTCACCTGTAACTTCACTGTGTTAAATGTCAGATAAGGAAGCAGGGAGAGCAGGGCTGTTAGCTACAGCTGCGGCCTCTTAGGTCATGTCCCTTGTTGTTGTTGTTTTTTTATTAATTTGGGAGTCTTTGCATTCTCACATTCTGTTAAAATGCTTTATCAATTGTGATGAAGGAGTCTTCATCCACCAGAAATATATCCAGGCAGTGTAGAGATTTGAAACAGCATTTAGACCATCAAGTAAAATAATTTACATAATTGAACAGTAAAATGAATGACTAAATTAAAAAAATAGCATTAAACAATTGATCAATTCTATACGTTCTAACAGTATATATCTACTATATACTAATCTTTATAGGCAATACTGTTACAACACTGTTAGAATACAAGAAATTAACACACAATGGTAATTTTATACTTGTCAAAAATGAGACAATTTGTGCACCACAAATATCAGATGATATTGTATGGTGGGAGAAAGTGTGCACCAACACCAAACTCAAAAAAAATTCTAGTCTTTTGTCTGCAGTGCTGATTTATTTATTTATTTTTTTTGTTTACTTAATTCTGCCATTTTCTATTGTGAACACGCTAGAGTCCGGCTTAGAATGAGCTATGTATGGAACTGGGACACAGTTAATGTTTCACAGGCAAAAAAAATAAAAACTTTAGGAGGGTTAGTGGCACTGGGAATTTTTTTTTTTTTTTCAAAATCCTAAGGATAACAGCAGCACATAACGTTAACAGGTTTTATCACTGGACGTTTCTCCAATAAACACAGGCCTACACCTAAGGACAACATTGCTATTGGAGCAGACTTCGGCTTCTCTACATTATGAGTCATAAAGTGAGATGTTTATCAGTCAGAATTTACAGTGCTCCGCTCAGGTCTATAGCAAACAAGAATTTCCCATTCCCTGTGTGCATTCAGTGATGCCAGTAACAGTGTGGGATCATCTGATCAGGCTCAGGTTTAAGTGATGATTTTTGTTTCAGTCACCCATACAGTTTCTGTAAACACCAATCCACCCGTGTGGCTTTGGCGGATAAAATCTTAACAGCACTTGACAAGAATGAATCTGTTTGTATCATACTTGTAGATCCTTCAAAAGCTTTTAATTGACTAAAGGGTGGAAATATGGTTTACAGAAAACAATTTGTTAGGACACTGGATTCCCATTTTTTGGATGTTATTCCTACTTCTTTTCATGTGCTAAATATAGTTTCTCTCATAATGTTTCCAATGACGAGAGCTGAAACAATGAATGCGTATTTGCTGCTTTTCTTTGTCCTTTGATATATCACCTTTAGGAAATTGTGATGGACATTTTGTAAACCCAAACCCTGGCTCTCTCACACTCTTGATTAAAGACGCTAACTCTGGTTTATCTGCTCATGTAGAATGGTTCAAACTCAACATATTGTTGCTAAAATTTTGCCCAGAATGTTTGTTGATGAGAACTTGAGCTGGAGAGAACACGTTGGTTATGAAAAGTCTATTGGTATATTAAGGAAAGCGAGTTATTTTGTATACAAGCGATGTCTTTAAACCCTTTATTATTCTTTATGGATTCTTACTTCTCATGCTGCAACATAGTAGGGGCGAGTATATTTTTCAAAAAGCCAAAAATGTCCTCCTGCAAATACTTTTAAAAGATTTATAACCCATTCAAAGTGTTGCACCCAGCTGGTTCCTTTATCTCAGGAAAGTCAACTTTTTAAAATGTATGTTATGTGACCCAAATACATCTTCTCCAGCATCCCAAGTTCCACAGAGCATATTTAAGGAATACTTTGTGTTTTAAATTGTGGTTTCCCCTCCCCTCACATTTATTTCCATTATAATTTTTAATGTCTTTTGTTGATTTCAACCTGTACAGATATATAAATTCATTTCTCACCTCTTCTTTACAGGTGACAGGCAGCTTTCCTGGTGCTGAAGGGGATGGTCCATGCTGCTTTCCAAAATCTCCAGCAGACTGAGAAAGTTGAGCTTCTGAACTAAAGTCACTTTTTTTATTTTTTAATGGGAAAGACTATTTCTTAATCAGGGGAAGCTCTGCATCCGGTAAGCGGATGGGCTGTGCACAGACGAAGAAAAGGTTTTTAACTTGTAAATAGAACATTTCTATTTTTATGTGCTGATTTTCTGGCAGATATAACTCATTTTTTTGGGAATAAAGTTTACATGTAATTGGATGTATTTCAGTGTATTTAATTTCTGCATACAGGTGACTGAACACAACGCCCATGAGTTGCACAACTGACAGCTTTTCTTATCTTCTCTTCCTTGTCTCGGTCCGACCTTTATTGTTTAACAACTTTTATAAGCCACACATGAAACAGATTTTTCTCTCATGGTCACTTTTTAAATATTACTTTTTGAAGGGGGTACACAGCACTCTAGGTGTTCTCCCAGTATTTTATTCCAAATCATCAGAGCCAGAAGTACGAGGCCAGTATTTCTAGCTATTCCATATCCACCTGTGGGCCTTAGATAAGGCCTGGATCTGTGGATGCTGGAATGGAACATGTTTATGAAATGAGGCCACATCCAGCGACAGAGCTGCAAAATCTCTTGTCATCATTAAGGAAACATATTTCTCCTCTGTCAGACGGTGTAATGAGAAAAAAATGTGGGACGTAGATACAGAAAGGAATGTGACCTGAGAATTTAAACTCTTCCTTCTCATCAGTCTCACCTCAGACTCACAGGCGGCACTGAGAAGAAGCATTTCATATGAATTTATTTCACTCTGAACATTTTTCATGTCCTACAGATAAACTGTTAAGGCTGTGAATAATTTCAAAGACTGTAAAAGAGAAGTCAGCTACTCCTATCATGGATTATAGAAACTTTCTTGGCCGCTGCCTGCTGTTTTTCTTCGTCGCCGTCCTCCTGGATGCAGCAGGCCTTATTCTCTTCTTCATCGGGGTCTTCACTCCCCTCAGCTACTGGGATTTCTTCGTCTTCTCAGGGCCCCTCTTAATGTTCTTCAGCCTGGTGTTCTGGATCTTCTGGTACATCGGAAACCTGGAGGTGCCAATGGAGGAGCTGCTAAAATGAGGTTAATGGCGTCTTCATTTGCAGCACAAAGCAGTTTTCTACCAACTGGTGCAGGAAATAAAACCCAAAGCTACAGCTACATCTTCATATTTAAAGTTTTGGACAATCAAGACACGTCGGGAAGAGAAGGATTTCCCCATAACAAAGCTGTAGGGTGAAAATTCTCAGCTTCTGCTCGATCTCATGGGTGGATGTTTGTAAATTTCCACCCAATTCACCACCCAAAAATGTAAGACTTTACTCTGAAAGGGAGTTTACAAGAAAGTTGTTAAATTATAAAATGACTAAAAATGTGTTAAGACACATGGCAATAAAAAAACTGTACATTAAAATTAGTTATATTGTTTATTAATTATTCAGTGCAATTAAACCCTCTTTGTTGTCATCTTGCATCTCCCTGTGGTCATTCTGCGTCTCTTTCTAGATGTTTTGCATCTCTTTGTAGTCTGGTGCATCTATTTGCAGTTGTGTTTCGTCTCTTTGTGGACGTTATGTCCTTTTGTGGTTATGTTGCGTCTCTGACTCTAGTACAAGCGTCACCAGGGGTCAACAATCGGAGAAGTGAGGGGTCTTTTTATATTGATTGGCTTCAAAAGCTATAGTTCCCGATCAGTCTCTATGGTGATTTACCTGTTGTGAAATCTGAGTATTAATCTGAGCTCAACCCATTCAGCAGAAACCAGTTAAACTGGGTCCATTAGCAACTGGGGCAGGGAGTGCTCTCGTTTTACAAGATTGTGTTTTCCCCGTCTACAAAGCATCATAACAACATTAAAAAAATGGCAGAATTGAACTTTTGGAAGCTGTTTGTACAGATTTAGTAGTGATACGTGCTCTCTTGTGACACAAATTGTTTCTGTGTTCACAAGGAACACAACCTATTCACAGCCTAGCTGACATTTAAGATGGACACCAGGATAACCAGCCTTAACAACAAAGGCCAGAAGAACAGAGCCTCGAGACAAACAAAGAGACAAAGAAGAAAATCATTTTCTCAAAAAAGCATTTTCATTTTTTTGGATTTCCTAATACACATTATTCAGGTTACATGTTTGATTTAACAAAACAATGGATTTCAAAATGAAGGTGGAATGTTTATTGCCTCTTATACATCTTTGCAAAATCCATATTACACTGCTCTTCACATTGCCTTCTACAAAAGCTGCAGTGTTTTTGAAGGAGTGGGCCCACACAGCCGTTTAGCCTTGAACAAGGGGAATATTTGGAAATGTGTCAGCCATGCATAACTGCTCCAACAGCTCCGGGAAAATTACTTTGAGCTGGTGGACAGGTGACTCTAAAGTGTCACAAGCCCTCCCTCTCCAGGGCGTCAGGTTCCACCTCACACCTAACGTGTCTTTCCATTACCCGTTTCCAGCCTGCCGCACAGTGCACACAAACACACACTGCTACTGCACACCTTCCCTCGGTCACCTGAACATGACACTGTTTGACTCAGCACTGTCATGACAAAGGGGACAGGGATTAAGTTCTGCGAGGCCATTCAGTGTAGTTTGTTTGTTGTGATTCCCTCCAGCACTTCACACTGTGGCAGCAGTGTGCTGGCATTTGATGTAATGGAGTTTCAGAGTAAAGTTCAGTGGTGGAAGAAGTATTGAATCTTTTGAGTTGCACGTGTACACTGTTGAAAATGATATTATTATTTTTTCCCGCACACCTGTGTGTCGGATTTGGGAGAAAACACATTTTCTGTAACGAGTAGGATGTACGTGACAATTCATAATTTCACAAGCATTTAATTTGGATTTGAAACTTGATGGCAAAGTTTGATGAATGCCCAGACTTACAGGTGCAGCTCAAAACTTTTGGATTTTTGTCCTAATTTAGTTAATGCACATGTACTTCATTACAAGTAAAAGTCCTGCATTTAAAGTTGTACTTTAGAAAAAGTACAGAAGTATAATCAGCAAATTGATTGTAAGGTAGCAAAAGTAAAAGTACCCACAATTCAGAATGGCTCCTTTCACTTTAAATGTATAGTTTTATTATGTGTCCACATCAATTTAGTGTTCTCAGTATGGTTTCACTGTGAACTAATTTATACACTAGTTTATATTTTACTCTGTAACAGTACAGCGTATTACATTTGCTGATCATATGTTTTGGATTGAACGTTTAATCTAAAAAGTAACTAGTAACTAAAGCTGTCAGCTGTCAGAGTAAAATGCACAATATTTCCCTCTGACAGTGCTGGAAAGTACATTTGCTCAAGTACTTCAGTTAAATATGATTTTGAGGTACTTATGCTTGACTTAAATTAGTATTAATATTAATATTGAACTTTATTAATTTGACAGCGCTACTTATATTTTTTACTTTTCAGAGTATCGAAATGATCAAGCTTATAAAAATATATAATGCATTGATATAGATTAAAGCAGTGGTTCCCAAACTTCCCCCAGTTTTGCTTTTTATGTCTGAGTTATTTGCAATTCCACATTTTCCCCCAAAACTTTTTTAATGGTTCTTAAAAAGTGTTAAAGGCCCGCGTAGGTCAAATTAGCCAGTATTTCACAATCAACCACGAAAATATTAGAGATCAGAGATCAGAAGTGCATTTTTTCCTCTTTCCTCTTCTATTAATCATCTATCAATGCCTCAGATTTATCCGGTAACCCCTGGATTGAGAATCACTTGACTAAACTATCTAAGTGTGTATAAAGCAGTTAAAACTAGTTCCACCTCCAGCAGCTACACCAGTTAAATGCTACATTTATGCAATAGTATTAAGAACATGTTGGTAATTTAAGTACATTTTGCACTGCCCTCCTAATTGTTGTGAGGTAGAAGTGTAAAGCAGCATAAAATAGAAGTACTCAAGTAAATTACCAGTACCTCAAAACTGTTTCTGTTTTTTTTTTCAACCACATAAAGCAGCTGTCACAGCTCCAAATGGGTGTTAGCAGGCTGTGTTGTGTTGGGTTAACCTTGTTGCACCAATCTTATTTGACTGAGTTTGTCCACTTTTAGTAAATATCAGGTATCATCCAGTCACGTCAGCCTCCATGGTCAATCAATCCAGTCTGTAGAACCTGATATGGAAGTCTGTTTGCTGTGCAACTATGTTTTCTGTAATTTAACTCCTCATTTAAGGATCAAATTTTCCTCAGTTTCCCTTTCACTGAACGGGTGTGCCTTAATGAGGTGCTAACTCGCCCAAAAGAATTTCATTAGTCTAGTTTCAGTTGGGAGTTGCTGTGCACCAAGACTTTTTACCCTGGCAACAAACACTGAGCACCAGCAGGAGACCAACATTAATTGATACCAGTGCTTGAATAATTCAAATTTACAAGGTACATTCATTAAGTAGGGAATAATTAGGAAGTTACAAAGGGAATCTCAGTTATATGAGGCTTAAATTAAACTGTGTTCAATTTGGTTGTTGCAGAATTCTCTGTCTGGTAGTAATGTTTTACTTTCCCTTTTTATTTACATCTACTCGATAATACCCGAGAATAAAAAAAAAATCCACCTTACACTCCGGTTATACACATTCCTGCAGTGAGTTAACAATCAGCCTCATACTCATGTACTGTGCTATATTCCTTCGCCCTCCTATATATGCATTATTTCCATAAAATGTCACAAAATGCAATAATGTTCACTTTTGCTGGGGATATCAGTTAAGCGCCCCAAACTTTTGGCAAGTATTGATCCATAAAACTCCTTAAAACCACCCTATAAAGGTTAAAACTGTGACCTTTACAGGGATGATGTCAGATCTTTATGCAAAACAGACACATATTCTGCAATGTATCCGAAGTTGCTGTTTTCTACTGTAAGTGTTAAGAAAAATTTAAAGCCCTGGTTCTTAGCAAGGACAAACTGTACAACATTTCACAAAATGTATTCATTGTGTTAAATAAATGCCAAATAAACAACTTGACTTAACAACTGCAAAACCTACAGATACAGACAGATTAGGAGACGATGTATTCCTGGACACAGACATGTAGAAGGATACTCAGACTGTTTTTTTTCTGACTAATTTGAGTCTCTTTGTGGTTGTTTGACTTTCTGTTCTGAAACGTTAACAGTCACTTCTGTTCACTAGTTAGTATAGGCCTATAAATACCTCTACAAACATCCACTTACACAGTGGTTCTCAAACAGGGGGGCAGGTCTATAGCCACTGCAAGTTGAATGAATATGATTTATGTAGGGATGTTTTAAAAACAACTGTTTGCTGACGCTATTATGCTGACCTGAACCATTTGTTTTATTTTAATTGAATTTACCTGGACTCCTTTTGTTTCGTTGTGACTCCCCCCCGTACTCTTAAGGATTCATAAGAATTAAATTTGTGAACTTGTTGTGTGTGTGTGTGTGTGTGTGTGTGTGAGGATGGGAACCACTGCACCAGTACACAAAAAGTGATTACAGCCAAGTAACAGCCTGCATGACAATGAACATAACCAGCAGATGGCAGCACTGAACTGATGTTTCACTGCAGCTGAGGCCAACTCATCTAGCACGACCACCGTTGTACTATTACTACTACTACTAATAATAATAATAATAATAACAGAGAACGTGAATTAATAAAAGTTTAGGGAAAATTGAACAACCACATTGGTTGCGTTTGCTGTATTTGCAACATATGTTCCACATGATGCCCATTTGCTTAAATGATATGTACATTAATATAATTTACCATACTTGAATCTAGTAGGAAGAAGTTTATAAGTCTGCAAATTTGCAGACATTGTCAGTGAGCATTGCCTGCATACATAATATATACATTTCCCAGCAACAGAGCACTCAAACAATTTTAAAATAAAAGTAATGATTTATTTAATTAAATGAAATAAAAGATGTTTAATGATGAGGCTACTACATGTCAATGTTTCAAATCTGATTTCCCTCTGTTTTGTTTTACAGAGGTAAGATAATAGATAATGATAAAGATCATGTTTTTCTATCCTAATATAGGACAAAAAAGGTTAATACAAAATGTAATGAGAATTAATTCTTGATCATTATTTAACAGTAGTTTGACCAAATAGGTCCACTTAAAACTTTCTTTGGAGCTTCTACCTGCATCTTCATCAGTGAATGGAATTTACTCTATTAGTATGTTAATAACATTATAAATTATCTGTATAATTGCATAATGCATTAGGCCTATCTTGCAATATTTAATAGCAACTGAGCAAAGGTGAAGTCATAGAATAAGGTTAAAATGTCTGAAAAGTCCGGAAAAACGCTAGAAGGCCTAAGGGTCCGTGATTTGAGATTATTTTTCCAGAATTATATGTCATTTCACTCAAGTTAAAATATCAATCAATAACACATAGGCCTAACTATGGTTTACAGCTCACACAATTATGATCCAAACAAAGTCTGTCGGCAGAACATCAGTAG